ATGAAGACACTGAAATGTATCATAATAGAGTATTTTCGGCCTTTAAAAGAAATTACCAGGGGCAAAGACAGGTAAATACGGAAAATGGAAGAGCAGAACACCTTTATCCAGCTTTGGAAAGTCTTGCACTATAGACATTTTTGCGATAATGCGTTTTCAATTTTGCCATTTTGGACTTTCTTTAGGGATTCTTATTTTCTCTATTTTATCTCCACATCAGCGTGTGCCGTGTGGAGACTGTAAAAATCGCCCCGTACATTCAATCAGAGATATTATTTTTCTGATCCTTAAAGATCGTTCAATATGACATTATTGTTGTGTTTCAATTATTTGGCTTTTTCGATTTGGGTGGTTCCAATATTTCTACGTGAATAATGTTGAATTACTCTTAGGATATATTGCCTGTTTTTGTCTTTTGACGTCCTATCTGTGATATGCAGACTTCATAACCTCTGATTCCCGTTCAAAATTCCATTTTGTTCTCTTCCGCCCATTGTTTTCTCGATAAGGGCAGACGCTTTCTATTATTTGGGGACCATTCGCCGCTTTTCATGAAATGGCAAGGAAGTGCTACAGTGTAGGTTCCATGACTACCGCCGTATGAACACATCTGTGTAGGCTTCTAAATTCAAAATTTTACCATTTCATGTCTAAATGTTGAATTCTGCTTAATCTTCACTATTTCGTGTAGCAATATGACATGGCTCAAAACTGTTTTGGGTTTTCGTTTTCGAAAGTATTCATTATTATCATTTTCGAAGAACTTTTGCATTAACAGATTTGCATTTAGGAACAACAAAAATGGCGGGATCCCGAGTTGTAATGAAAATTTCAAACATAACATTCTTTATACTGATTGTCCTTTTTGGAATACATGCGCGGTCGTTCGCAAGTCTTTGTAGCCCAAATCTTGTTTTGGTGTTTTCGCTTTTGCTGTATCAATGAACACATATTTCGGTCATATGTGACGATATTTTCAAAAAAAATCGTAAATTGATATTTGAATACAGTTTAAGCAACAACTTAGGGCATTGCACAAGAGCATTTTTCTGCTATTTGGTTATTGCGTAACAATCTGCCTATTATCATGTTTGTGTGAACTGCTGCTAATGAGATGCCAACGGTACTTGCTAATTGCTTAGAAGTTTATCTTGCATAGTATTGAATATATGTTATCTTTACAAAATACATGTTGATGCGGAGAGCTTTTTTCCCTTTAATGTGCAATGAATAATGTACTCCGGAGAGCTAGATTTGTCTAGAGCTAAAATGCGGGGTACCTATAGTTATGCAATGTCCACTTATAAAGCTCCTTATTTTGGAATAAAGCACTTTCGATATAACATAGGAAAATTACCATTTTAATAGCTTTATATTTTATTACTGTAACTATTATGGTGAACATATCTTGCTAGACTTTCTGAAATATTTGAAATATTTAAAAGTAAACCTGATCATTTCTAAAAGATAAAATCTATTGCTTTCTAAAGAAAATAGTAGGACACATGTTTTAATGGGTTTCTTTAATGTTCTTTTTTTAATAACGTTCTTCAGTTAAAAATGAAACATTTAGAATACTGTGCAATGTTGGATACTCAAATGATTTCTATGATTGTGCTAATATAATCGCCGTCACAAGTAACTTTTATAACGTTTAGCTAATGGACAATTGAATGCCTTTTTTCAATTATAACATGTGAACATAATTGTTTAAGTTACACATCAAGGATCCTCTCAAGACAAACTTATAGAATATCTATAATAGCAAAGTGAAATGACATGATTTTCACGTTTTTTTTATCTCATTTAAACCTTTCAGGTTACTTAAATGTTATGTAAATTTTGCAAATAACGTAATAATACCACTCGTTTCAAGAATTTCCATTTATTTTGTATAACTGACGTGTTTTTTTAATATATTGAACAACAGTGGTCCTTTTCTTATTCAAACCACGTTATATATCAAAAATGGACATATTTCAACCCAGACAAGACATTATTCAGATAGGACGAAATGGAAGTGTTAAGCATTTTTACATGAATGTTAAGCGCAGATTGAAGCCATGTTTTCCAAAAATTATTTTTTTTCAATGACAATTCTAATGACCAGACCTATTTTAGACTCATTTAAGGAAAGGCATTGGATAAAATATTTAAATTAAAGGTCGGGCCGGTGTGATTGATCCCTTTCCCAAATAGGCAATTTTTGTACTTTAGTACATTCTATAGCTCCCGCAAAGAAGTTGATTTGGAGGTTAACACGTATATTTTGGGCAATACCATTTCAGGGATATGGAAAATGATGCTTTTACATCAAATAGATTTGAGGATTGGAATTTTGTGTACCGGCAAAATGGAAGCACTTTGCTGTGAATAAAATAAATGGTTAAGAAATATTTACATGGTAAGTTGCATTTATTCTGAAACACTCCTGGTATAATCTAGGTTAAAAAATTCATTTCTAGATATCTATTATGCTATTTTCGTATTTATTAAAATCATGAAGTTTGTGTTTCAGGTTTTGATATGGATGGCGACAAGTGCTTTTATTACTCAAATACAGAATAAGTTTGGGAGTATTCAAAGGTATTTGCTTTGCATTTGTAATTTTATATTTACATCTTTTGAATATGGCAGACAATTGGAAATTGCTGTGATAAGTATCCATTTCATTGATACTAGATAGAAGGTAAGTCGAAGTAAAGGGAGTTCAGTACGGACAGTGAAAGTTTTCCAGAAGACGAATTTCAGTATTCCAATCTTTTCTCCGCACCCCTAAGGCCACATAAGTTCAAAAATTATAAAACTTTTTCCCAAATGCTTCATAAGTAAATCGGTTTTTTTTTCTAATTGAAAGATTTTTTCAAATAAGCTTAAAAAATTGTAGTTGTGCTTAAATTACCCCTGCCTGTGCGGTTGTCTGTTATAAATCCCTTATGGATAAATTCATATTTATATTAGTTGTTTTTTATGTCTTCATTAGTGAATTTATTTTAACAGGGTAATGTTTTAGTTTGTTATTTCCTCTGAGTAGCTAACCGCATTAAGAATGTTTCTGTTCCATTGATAGTAATTTCCTTTCCTTTCTGTTATCTTTCCGGCGTCAAATTCGTTATGGTCCTTAATTCCGATAGTCTTGACGCTAAGAATTATATTGTATAATAAACAAGCATTTAAGAATTAGAATTTAATCAGAAGGAGTTTATACTTAATTAGGTTCTTAGACCAGATGAATATTCAACACATTAGAAAGTTGATGCTGGGTAATTTACCTGAAGAATACTGTTAACGAAAGCATACAGAATGTTTATGAATTTCCTTTTCGTATTATTGTCAACGAAATGATTATGTTCTTGCAATTTTAGTTTCATGCCCGCTGAAATGTGTGCTTTTAGGCATATCTTATTAACATTTGTATCTATTCGAAAAGCACGCCTCCAGATAAATGCCAGTTTTCATGAATTTTTGATTATGTATTTCAAAGTAAAATATTGTAAAGTTACCAAAGGGAAGCAATTTGCACATTACATATAGCACTCACAATCCACAAAAATTACCAAAATGATGTTTAAATATTTAAAAATAGCATTCACGGCGTTAATTACGCAGTAGACATTTAGTGTTAAATGCTGAAAAAAAATAATCATTAATCACATAAGAACGTCACTTCTTTAAACTTTTTACTTTTCCTAAAATCTTGTACAATTTTCTCAGATTTGATGTCATTGAAACATTAGAGCTTATCTAGAGGCATGCAGATTAAACACACATGTAAGCATTATATATACAATAACAACACAATGTATAAGTGCAAACTAATGAGGAAAATTATGAGAACATAATACATAGTCCTACAAAAGTTCTTCTACTCTCTGTTAATTTATCTTGCGTGCTGATATTTGTACCCAATGTTAAATGGGTAATAAATATTATAGAAAACAAATAAGAGATATGTAGAATTCATACGAAATAGGAAAGAATTTAGCAATGATAGGAAAGTAATATTTGCATTAAAATGCTGTAAATTAAAGACAAAGTAATAAAAAGAGAACAAAAACTAGGGCTAAGAAAAGAAGAAGAAAAAATGAAAAAGAAGATATTGTATTACAAATTGTTTCTTAGAAATAATTGAGAGTAAAATGGTCAGTGTAAAAGTGTAAGTTGTAAATTTAGGCTTTGATGTTATATTTCGTCTATTATCTGTTTTAGGTGAAATTAGTAAAACATGATACAATTTTTGATTGATTTATTCTGTATAGAAATTCGTTTGAATATTGACATAGGCCTTCATGCCACAGACTACTAGTAGTTATAAAAACAATAATGCCATAGTTTGAAATGCCCAGATTATTCATTTTAATCTTGTAAATTTAAATTAAACAAATCAATTTGCCAGGTAATATAAACAATAGTTATATTCTTATTTGTATATCTTTCAATTTTGATGTATTTAAATAAATAATGCTTAATGAATATGACAAGGAAACGCAGATAGTATTTAATCGGTGGAAAATCTTTATTTCTTGGTTAACGAAAGTTTTGTGGTATTTTTTTGTGAATTATTGACATACAATTATTTCTTATTTGCACTTTTATAATTTTCCATTCGAGCCAATAATAATTTGAATTATCACTCAATTCCGAATCATGTACATACATTACAAGTACTAAAGTAGAAGCAGAAAATCTTTTATTGATAAAATGCCAATACATTATCTAGTTCCCACCCAGATATCAAGCTTCTTTCAATTATGGCCAACACTATTCGTTGTTACATATTAAAATGAATCGATTAAATGCGTCCAATGAAATAAAGTCTTTCATAGACTAGTTGGCAAATTTACATGCAATGAATATTATATAATCTGAAAATATGAACACTTATATGACGAGCTTTTATCTTAAGATTTTGGTTTCTTTTATTTCAAACGACAACAGATATTTGCAAAATATCCATTTGTTTATCGGAAGAACATATTTGAAATAACCAAAAGAGTATTATGGAGAATATAAACAGCAGTTTCAAAAATGATACAATTGAAGACACTGATATATTCAACAACACAGGCGGAAATCATAATCACTACTACTACTACTATTATTACTACAGAAATTCAGAGCCTGTCAACATTTTTGACTTTCTTCCAGAGTCATACAGAAATGCAAGGATTTTCTTGTACAAGTACCTGGTTTTCATCATTTGGATCATTTCGTTCCTTGGTAATACACTTGTTATCTTAGTTCTGATGAAGAAGCGCAACCGTGGCTTCTCGACATCCATTTATTTGAAAGGACTTGCATTTGCTGACCTTAGTCTCAATACATCCAATACATTGACACTCTATTTTACATCTCATGGCTATATAAAGCCACCGGCATCGGACACTGATTGTCACTTCCGTAACGTGTTTTCATTTGCAATTGCATTCATCACTACTTGGATGCTTGTAGTTATTTCAATTGAAAGGGTTATAAGCGTCTGGATGCCATACAAAGTAAAGCGTCTGTGCACAGAGAATGGAGCATATATAGTCAATGTCTTCATATGGCTACTGTTCTTTGGCTTGTCATTTTTGCACGAGCATCTAATGGTATACGAAGATGGTTTAGGGTGTCAAGTTCGCGCGGAGTACTATATTAACTACCACAACTATCTCATCTGGGTTTTGACATCGGTTAAGTTCCTGATTCCATACGCCATCATTTTTATTTGCACGGCTATCATCATGATCACGCTTGTCAACAGAAAAATAAGAAAGCATAGCACGGAGAAAAGAAACCGGGGAACATCTGTGAACATCGTCCTCATGAGCGTCAACATTGTATTCCTTACTACAAATGCTCCTTACATCATCTTCTACTTATTTGCAAGTTATACGTCGTTCCACAGCATTCCGGTATTGAGCTATGTTTACTATTTCTTCTGGTATACTTATCTGCAAGTCCTGAATGATTGCAACAGCGCTGTCAACGTATTTGTTTACTTTCTCGTTGGTTCAAGATTTCGGAAAGATGTTATAGAAATGCTGTGTGTTTGTCTTCGGAAAAAGCAGGCGCACGGAACAAGCGGAAGTCAGAAAGAGTGGAAAACACGCGATACAGTTCTTTCGCCTGGCAGTAATGAGTCGAATATAGAAAAAATCTGGCGCCGGGAAAACATGGAGCTAGCTTTATAAAAGAAAAACATGGAAACAATGTCTGTATATATTTTCACATTTCTCTTTCTAGTGATAGGCCGAAATAAGAAACATCCCCGTATTTGCATTACTTGACAAAATAAGAATATTTGAATCGCGCAATGAATATGTGAAAATTTCGAAAATGTTTACACATTTTACTAACTATTAATTCTACAATGGCATTTTAATTCTTGCTTATTGGTAGCTAACTTGATATAATGGGCATAAACAAGAACTAGTACAATATTATATGACATTTCAAAAATAAAATTATGTTGTCTTGAAAAATTTGCATAATACAAACATAGCGTAAATACGTGCTAAATATTAGCGTCACCCTTTCAGCGCGTCAATGAAAAAGTGATTCTTTTTTTATTGTCAATTTTTATATTGTGGGTATGTGATAAGTAAAATATTGTATTCGTGTAGTTTCAATACTAAATTTGTTGAACTCAGAAGCTCGCATAATATAATTTAATTCAACTCGTTCAATAAATACATTTTTGTTCTCACACTTATTCAATATCCTCTGTACTCATTTATGATAGTTTTATCGGAAGTCGGTTATAAAATTATTGTCAAACTTTTTTCTTCTTCTTTCATCAGCTGCTATTGTGGATAAATCATATCGTATTGTACACCTTAATGTATGTTAACATATGCTCGATACTTTAAGATAAACTAATGTTTTTTAATGAAGTTCATGAGAGTCATTCAAGCTGACATGTGCATTAATCATCACAAATGTGTTAACAATGCATATATGTTTATCAATTTTGAAGAGTTCACTAAACAAGTTCTTTTTTGTTTGTTCATAACTTAGTTATACGTCTTGTTATTATTTTTATTTTTTCAATGTTATTGTAATGAATCTATATAATTTAGTTAAAATCTTAATGTATAGTTTAATTATTAACATTTTATTAACCTTGACGGATGACATTTTATTATGTATATAATTATATATGTTGTTCATTTATAAGGTGAACATTTTGTTTGTTGTGATCCGTTTTATTTACACATATATATGTTTTTATCTCAAATGACAATATTAGAAAAGTAGTGTTAGAAATTAATTTGGATGTTTTTATTTTTTCTTATTTATACAACTTTTTTTACAACATAATAATTCTGAAGTTTAATTGCTTGTCTGTACTCTATCGGGGCTATCCCGTCAATAATCTATGACGACCAAGCTTTTTGTTCATACGACACCATGACTGTTAAATAGTTCAAACGAAATTTCAGCAAAAAAAAGAAACAATGTTGACACAATATAGGGGAAAAACTATGTCAATACTTCGATGTTCGTTCATTACAATTATGATTGACTGGAAACAGTTTATTGTGCATTGCAGATAGTATTTGATGTTGTCTTTTGTTACTTAGTAAATATTGATTTTGTAATGGTATAGTAAATTATAAGTGACAATTACACTTAAGTTACCATTGTTATATAAGTGTGTTTTTTTCCAACCAGAGCACATAAGCAAAGTCTTCTATATTACATTCTATACTAACTTGATAATAATGCAGATGGAAGTCAGTGGCCAATTGGTTATGGACATTGACTTGAAACGACTTGTCCATCACCACAGTTGGTTCGAATCACTACAGGAACTTTGAATATTTCATGAGAAGAAGCTATTTAGCTAGTTTACGGAATGCCGGTGGTTCTAATTTGGTGCCCGTTCGTGCCTGAAATAATGCTTTGAATAATCCAAGGAAGGTCAGCTGGGAACTTCCGTCACCGGTAAAGGTGGATAGTCGCCAATGCCATTTATATCCTAACAATAAAGAGATAACAATACAAGTTAAAAACTTAGATATAGATTGCTTGTACCCTCGACAGTATCTGTGTAGTTATGAAATATTTCCGCTTTGCCGACTTTACCTAAACAGGATAAAAAATAATCAGAACTATAAACTAGCCAATATGCAACTCCTGATTTACAAATAGGTGTGTAATCTATATACTTTTTCAATCAAAAATATATATTGTTCAAATGCATGTTATTTGCAAACTTGTAGTTAATATTTTTAGTAAATTATAAAACAGGAAAAAAGGATTCAATAAAACTCAATCATATTTATTAGTCACAAATATTTCCTTGAAATGTTCATACAATGTATTGTGGTGTTCACTTGCTTTATTTTATATTGCTTTGACATTTTTAGGGTTTTCTTTACATCGCTGATAATTATAATCATTTATTGGTACGACCATTCCGTGTCATAGTTTTTGTGCCCCTCCTGATTTTTGTCCGTTGCCCT